AATTATAATAAATAAATTCTTAAAAAAAAAAAAAGAACTGCCATATCTAAGCCCCAGAACAGTTTCTCAGGGCCACCAGAGACCATATTCACCTGCCACAGTCACTTGCAATTTTGTTACGAATAAAGCAGTGGCCTTACACGTCCACACCCCCTGCTGGCCCTGAGAATGGTGCTCACAGCTAAACTACCAGACTATTAGAAACAGCGTTTCGAGGGCCAGGGCCTGATGTGGAGGTGATGCCACTGGATCCACTTGGGCAGTCCTGGATTTGTGCCCTCTGACCTCTGTGAGCATGCTGAGTGTGGGTACTCTCTCTGACCCACCCCACTCTCTCCCACCCCGACCGCTACTCGGCAGCGTCTCTTCCCCCTTCCCCTCTTCCTTATGTGCTGGCTGAACAGTCCACACCGAGGTACAAAAACCCTGTTGTGGTGCCTGTCTCTCTAACACTCTCTCTCCTCTCGGAAGAATAAATACAATTAAAACAAAAGTTAAAACAAACAAACGAATATGTGCCAGTTGGTGGCATGGTGGTGGAGGCGGCAGGATCCCACATGGCTGGCTGCACTGTCTGAGTCCCAAAGTCCTGAGAGAAGGGACCGTGGTGTGGCCATCCTCCCCAGGGGGAGATTTCTCACTTTCCCTTTCCCTCTTTCTCTCCCGTGAGTGCGCATGCCCTGTGGCAAAATTAAAGAAAAAAGCAAACCAAAAACGTAACCTCCGGGCCCTGCTGTGGCGGCCTGGTGGGGGCGCGATGCCCTGCACTGCCTTAATCCGAGACGTGACTGAGCAGCAGCAGAGGCCCTTCTCCGGGCACCGAGCACGAGCACCGGAGCAGCCCTCCGAGCCCCAGGCCCCTGGGAGGAACACGGCGATGAGTTTCACAGCTGAGTACGCTGCGTCGCAAGGTCCCAGCCAATGGCACAGTGCGGGCAGCTCCGGTGCCCCGGGAAGGGCCTTGGAGGACGCTGTCTGTACAGAGCTGGGACAGCGGCGGTTCCCGCGTCAGTACCCACTGGGCCTGCTCCTGGTTGGCTCGGTGCAGGTGGCGACGCTCGGCTTGGAGGATGGAATTCCCAAAGGAAGGAGCCGACGATGGAAGCCCAGAGAAGCAGGACATTGCCGCTCCGCAGCGGGGGGTGCGTGGGGGAGGGACGATTTCCACCACAGTTCCTGTGACTCTGGCTGTGCCCGCCCCTTCCCTGCAGCTGCCATCCTTCCTCCCTTGATACCAAAGCCAAATCCTGCCGCTGCAGTGGGGGTTACCGCCCCGCCCTTCTCCAGGGCACTGCAGATGACTGGGTTCTAGAAGTCTGGGAACACAGCCCGGGTCACAGCTTGACCTCGTGCGCCTTTACCCAGGGCATGCCTGAAGTGTGAGCAGCCTGTAAGGAAGAGGGGAAGGGAGAAAAGATGCTGCCGGGTAGCTTAGGGCTGGGAGAGAGTGGGATGGATCAGAAAGAGTAAAATTCTTTTTTTTTTTCTTTTTTTTTTTTGAGAATTATTTATTTTTATTTATTCATTCATTCATTTATTTTAATTCGACCAGAGAGAGACACACACAGACAGAAAAAGTGAGAAAACAAGCAACCAGGTCTGGGACTCGAACCATGGTCTGCCATGTGGGAGTGGGGAGCACCTTTACCACCACCTGCTGGTTCCCTAGAAAGAGTAAAATTCTATCCAATGGACATGCCACAGAACACTGCTGTGCTTGATGCTGGGGTCCCGGGCTTTGCAGACAGTCCCCAGGGGACTGCGCCTGCTCAGGGACGTCACTGGTTGGGTGGACTGCAGCCTTAGCGGTGCCTGGAGTATGGACAGGCCTGAGGACACAAGGAGAGGACCTGGCCCTTGGCAGCAGTGGAGGGAAGCCCGTTTGACCAGTTCCTTTAACTCCACCCTTCAGTCTTGACCTGAGGCTTCCTGTCCCCATGTGCTGGTCTGGAGGAAGGGAGCAGAAGCCTTTTCGTTCTTCTAATTCCTCTCTGATTCTCACCTCTCTACTGAGGCTCTACCAAAGTCAAGGTCGGATGTGGGGAGAGGGAGGAAAAGGGGTTCTGGGCCTGGGGGAGCAGGGCCACGTCCGGCCAAGTGTCCGTGGAACATGATGGGAAGAAAGGACATGGAAAGCTAGGGGCAGGGCCGTCAGAGGGCAAGGCCGGTGGGGCCGAGGGAGACTGAGGCTCAGCCGTGCCAGCTGGGCTCTGGCCCCTGCAGCCACCGGGAAGGAGATGGAGGAGCCCTCAAGCCCTGCTGGTAGAAGTGAGCCCTGCCTGGGTCTCTGCTCCCAGATATGCTCTTTTTGTTCACCTCACCCCATCTCTCCTTGCCCCGTCCAGGCTGGCTGAGTTTTCCCTTTCCTGGGTTCTCATAATGCCCCGTAGCCACATCTACTGTGGCTCTGAGCACTCACTCTGCAGTCACCTGCTCACGCGGCCATCTCTGCTGTGGATCTCTGGCTCCGAGGGCAGAGGCTGGGTCTCATCCATCCGGCAGTCCAAAGCCTGGCCCATACCTGGCATATGCTAATGCTTAGAGCTGAGTAAGTGAGTAGCCATCCATTGTGACATTTGGGCATCTTCAAGGTCACACAAACAGCTATGTGACACTAGGGGCAGGGGGCTGATTATGAAAGAAAGAGACTGAGGTGTGACCATACTCCACTGGGGGGGGTGCTTTCTCTGTCTCCCTCTGCATAGTGAGTGCACTGGCAATATACATATATACACACACACACATATATATGTATATGCATACACATATACACAAATTTATATATACTTAAAATAAAGATTTTATATATAAATATATAAGTATATGTATGTGTGTGTGTATTCTAGTTAGTCGAGGTTTTCTTTCTATAAATGTGGGCAAAATGCAAAGGAGAAATTGAGGCAGTGTGACAGGGATGAATGCATGCTCCCTTGCACCTGCCCAGATGTGGGAGACGTGACTGTGGGCCGCGTGGCCGTGCGAGTTCTCCACCTGAGCCACGCAGCTGTGCGCTGACCTCGGTCCTCACCTGCACTTGGCCGTGAACGCTCCCCACCTTGAGAGAGTCTGGCAACAATCACTAAAAGTTGTACTGAAACAACCATTTCCCTAGAATGGAACCTACTGGATAATTATGAGTTACTAACTTATGAAAATGGTGGTAACAGATGCAGAACGTAAGACTTGCATTTTAGTCACTTTTACATGCATCAGTGGCATTAAGTACGTTCACATTGTTGTGCAACCCTCAGAGCCAGCCATTTCCAGAACTTTCCCATCTCCCAAAACCAAAAAGGTGTTGAGCGCTATCTCCCCATCCCTCCGACTGCCAGCCCCTGGGGAGTAACATTCTACTTTGTGTGTCTGTGAATTTGCTCTAGGGACTATATTGTCCTCTTGGGACTGGCTCAGTTCACTCAGCATGGCATCTTCAAGCTTCAGCCACATTGCAGCCTGTGTCAGAATTTCCTCCCTTTCTAGGGCTGACCAATGTCCCACACCACATTCTGTGTAGCCATCTCTCCGTCAGTGGACACGTGGGTCGCTTCTGCCTTTCGGCTGTCGTTAGTAAGGTTGCTATGGACATGGCCGTACGAGACAGTTAATTCTAAACCGAATCCAGTAATTGCCGACAACCTTAGGGATGCCTTGCATTAAATGTGATCTTCGGTAGGGTGGCCATGTAATTTATCTGCCACACACGGGCACTTCCGAGAGTGAATGGAGGCATCACTGGTAATTCTGGTGGGACACAGGCAGTGCTAAGATTGTCCAGGGAACCAGGCCATGGGCTTCCCTGGGACTGCAGCAGCCACATTTTGGAGTCCCTACCATGAACACAAATGACTGCAGACACATGGTAGTGAGTCAGCCGTGGCCTTTAGTGATTGGGGTTGATCCCTGATGCCTGAGGGATTTAAAAAAATTTACATATGGTATTGTCTTCCTCTAAGAAGAGAAAAAAGTATCTCGTTTGAATTATTGTAGTGAAATATTTTTTGAGTTTAAATATTGAGAAGTTGAGCTAGCAAGTGGTGTGGAGATTTAAGGTGCTGGATTCCCACATGGCCAATTTTTCACAGTTCAAATCCTGGACCTGGTAGCTTGAAAATCACAAGTATGTGTGGTGTGAGTGCATGCCCAAAATCCTGAGGAGAGCGGAGGGAAAGGAATTGCGGTATGGCCATCCTCCATGTGAGATCCAGCACCTTAACTTCCGTGTCATCTGTCGATCTCATGAGTGTCTTCTGAAACATCCAGTGAGTCCATTCAGTCTCCATTTGAGGGCCCATAGTGATGAGGGGCTCCCACCTGGCAGAGCAGCCCCTGCGTTTCTTACAGCCTTGTCTGCTTTTCTTTTCTTTTCTTTTTTTTTTTTTTTTAGAGAAAGAGATCTTTGCTATAGGGCACATGTGCTCACCAGAGAGACAGAAAGTGAGAAATAACCCCCCCCACACACACACACACAGAGGCGGGATGGTCACGCCGCAATCCCTTCTCCTCCATTCTCTTCTCGGGGTTTTGGGCATGCATGCACATCCACCTGGTATGGGTTTTAGGCCGTTGGGTCTGACTCGATCCGTGGTTGAGTACATGGGAGTCCAGCGATGTAATCATTATGCCATCTGCTGGTCACAAACCTTCTCTGCTTTTCAAAGGACAATCACCAGTCTTCCATGGTCTACTCATTTTCAGTAAATTATACATGTTAGATCTGTGACCACATAAGTTTTGTCCACTCTGGAATCCCTAGCACCTTTGAACATTCTAGCATAGTTGTAGACATGGAATAAGTGTTTGTTGATGGATAGAATGAATGAATGGGCTGGATATTTGAAAATAAACAGGAGTGAGAAAAGATTTGCTACCACACTAAGTAGGTCAGCTAGACTTAATTTTCCAAGAGTGAGGGGAGTCCTGCGTACTTATTTCATTTTTCCCAGACAACAGCCTGCCTCTGAGGTCTCATGAACTTCAGCTAGGTCAGTGGCGTGTACAATTCTTTGATGCTTTTCTTAGAAATGCTGCAGTTGTCTATAAATAACCTTCAGCAAATGTTTAGAATTATGTATTAGCTCAGATGAGACACTGAGAATGTTTACAACTCAGCTCAAGACCACAGGCGTCTTTATTTCCTGAATAAAGCTATACATGGACTTCAAGACTTTTGTACCATAATAACCTTGTAGTTTAATTCCATTTTCCTATAAACCATTCCAAGTTCCCTGGTATAACTGCATTTGTAATTCATTTATGGTTCACTTCAATTTTCTATAGTCACTTATTGGAAGAAGTACAGCAAACCACCCCCCCAACCCCACCTGGATTTTTCATATGGGACAGTAACTTCCAATTGTGTTGAAACTCTATTTCCCTAAGCTCTGGCTTTGATTGATAGCCCACTAGGCACAGTGTCCCTTCTGACCCAGAGAAACGAATGAAAGGGATGAGAACTATAAGGTAAGTGCATCTAGTCCCATCAGTAGTGGCTGCTCACGTGGTGGGAGCTCATCAAAGACTGTTCTACAGAGGGGAAGCCGGGCTCAGAGAAATCACCTCACCGGTGCCAGGTCACACGGCTACAAATGACAGAAACCATGATTCAAATCCAGGTATATCCCACCCCGGAACATATGCCTTTCCAGGTAGGCATCACAGACTGACTATATTGACCTTGGTGAGCTGTACCGGGAGACTTCAAAGATACCGTGAACAAGAATATTATTAAAACTATGCATCGCTTTCAATTATCTTTGCACCGATGTAAACTTGTACTTTACTCCCATTTTTATGAACTTTCTGTGGAGTGCCGGCGTCCCTGATTCAGGTCACGTCTGCTCTGAGGCTCAGATGAAACACTGAGCATGTTTACAGCTCAGCTCAACACCACAGGCTGCTTTATTTCCTGATCTCTCAGGTATCAAAACATGACAAGAAAGGCTAATTTTTGAGGCATTTCCTGCTTTTTTGAAACCTAGGAAGTACTGGGCATCTTAGGGACATCTGATCTTGTAAGGGTTTTTCCAACCCTCCACCTCCCTTTCCTCTGGAAAAAAAAATTTTTTTTAAGGTTTTTACTATATGGTGCGTGCACTCACTGAGAGAGACAGACACAGTGAGAGGGAAAGTAGGAAATCGCCCTTCAGGGGGATGGCCACACCACAGTCTCTTCTCCCTTTTCCTCTTGGGGTTTTGGGCATGTACATGTGCCAGGCGTGACCTTCAAGCTGCCGATTCTGAGACTTGAACTGTGGTTGGCCATGTGGGAGTTCAGTGCCTTAACCTCATGTCACCTGCTGGCCCCAAGAAAGAATTCATTCATATTGGTCCAGAGACATAGGCTGGGGGATGCTCGGTAACAGTGAAGCCCCTCAAACCCCAGCCTTCTGAAATTCTTTAAGGGATTTTCAAACCTCTGGGAGGTCTGAGTCACTCAATCTGGCATCCTGGTATGGAAGAGTGGGCTTCTAATAGTGATACAAAGCAAGAGGTCAGCTGCTTTGAGAAACTCCTGCCACAGCTTCTGACGGCCTCTATGTCACACAGGGGCATTACCAGATGAGCTCACGCAAGGACACCCTGCATTGTGAGTGGAGTCTGGGTGACAAGGCAGAACAGACAGAACCTTCCTGGTTAGGACTAAGTCTTGTACAACATGGCTTTGATATGGCCAATTGCCAAAAATAATATCGATGTGTCTGGTGCCTAATAAACATTAAAAAAGTGATTGCGCTCCTACCTGCAAAAACCTTTCAATATTGTGCAAAAAAAATTTTTTTTTGGAGAGGTTTTTAATATAGGGCACGTGCGCTCACCAGAGACAGAGACAGAGAGACAGAAAGCAAGAAATCATCCCCCAGGGACAGCTACGCCACAATCCCTTCTCCTCCATTCTCCTCAAAGGATCTTGGACACACGTGCACACGCGTCTGGCATAAGTTTAAGTCACCGGGTCCGGGACTCAAACCGTGGTCAACTATATGGGAGTCTAGCGCATAGCCATTATACCAACTGCTGGTTCCATGCAAACATATTTAAAACCAAAGCAAACCAAAACACAAGTGGGGCCAGATGGCGCAGCAGTAAAACAGGACTTTCTGTGAGGCAGACCACTCAGGAAAGTTCTTGATTTGTGTCCGGAGACCTGAGTATGCCAGACATGCACTGGCCCATGATTGGGGTCTGGCTAAGGCTGGGGGCAGGTTGCAGTACTGGGACTCTGGGAGTGTTCTCTCTCTCACTCATGGAATAAATAAACAAACACAAAAGGGAAAGTATTGCTTGCACAAATATTAGATTGCCAGGAAGGTCATGACGTATTTTTCTGGTTTTCTATGCAAAAGTGCATAGAAACAACACAGTATTAGCCAAGAATCACAAAGCCACAGCCCTGTTGAGACTGGGCTGTTAATGGATCCCAGCTTGACAGACTCTCCTAACCCTTCTGCACACATACCAGGCCCTACTTGGGACCTTGCACTGGCTTTCTTCTGCCTCATCCTCCAGCCCACTCTCTGTTCCACAAGTGCCAGTTTGACACTTCTGAACAGTTCTGCTGATGACTCTTGTAGACTATTTCAGTGGCTTTCAACCCTGACAGAAGTTATGAAAAGCCCATGTTCCGAGTCCTTCCTCTGCCCTCTGTCCCTTCCCTCTGTCCCTTCCGGTGCCTCATTTCCTCGAGTGCTTTGCTTCCCCATAAATGTTACCCAGCTCCTTTAGTTTCATTCATTTCCCCTCTTCCCTAAACCTTACGTCTTTCAAGCCTTGGCTCAGGTGTCATAACCTCTAGGATACCTGTCTAGAGGTGCAACCCATCAGTTCTTATGACTGCAGTATGGCTTAACTGCTGGGAGCACAGGCTCTGGGGCAACCACACAGGGTCTAATTCTGACTTGGCCACCTAAGTGTAATCTTATTTATTTATTTATTTTTTAATGCTGTGCTTCAGTTTCTCATCTATGAAAAAAAAAATTATAGTCAGACCTACTTCACTGGATTGTTCTGAAGATCCTCAAACAGTAGTAAGTAGACAATCAATACTATTAGGTTGGTGGAAAAATACCTGCCATTTTGCATTGTTGAAATTTGCCATTTGATCCTGGATATATTCTTAAACCAAAGTAGCTGTAATACATTATTATAATGTGCTTTTCTCTCTCTCTCTCTCTTTTTTTTTTTTTTCTTTTTTGGGCTAAGGACTTATTACTTGATGTTTATTTTGTATGTAGTTTAGCATGTGGAAATGATGTCAGATAAAAAGCAAATTCTAGCCATTTTCTTACTCGAGTTCAATGGACCACAAAACAGCACAGACAATTCAGAACATAAACAACACATTTGGTCCAGGACTGCTAACGAATGTACAGTGAAGTGCTGGTTCAATTACTTTTGCAAAGGAGAGCCTTGAAGATGAGGAGCGCAGTGGCTGGCCATTGGAATTTGACAATGACCAAATGAGTGTAATCATTGAAATTGATCCTCTTACAATGATATAAGCTGCTGAGGAATTCAAGGTCAACCACTCTGTAGCTGTTTGGCATTAGAAAGGTGAAAAAGTGGAAGCCTATTGAGCTGACCAAAATAAAAAAAAAAAAAGTCTTAAAGTATTGTCTTCTCTTATTCTACACCTCAACAATAAACCATTTCTTGATTGGACTGTGACATGTGACTAAAGTGGATTTATACAATAATCGGCTACGACCAGCTCAGTGGTTGGACACAGAAGCTCCAAACGCTTCCCGAAGCCAGGACTGCACCAAAAAGAGGTCATGGTCACTGTTCGGTGGTCCGTTGCTAATCTGACCCACTATAGCTTTCTGAATACCAGTGAAACCATTACGTCTGAGGAATGTGCTCAGCAAATCAGAGATGCACTGAAAACTGCAACACTTGCAGCCAGCATTGGTGAACAGAAAGAGCCCAGTTTTTCTCAAGACAAGGCCTGGCCACACATCGCATAACCAACACTTCGAAAGTTGGAACACATTGGGCTATGAAGTTTTGCCTCATCTACTATATTCATCTGAGCTCTCACCAACCTCTTCAAGCATCTGAACAACTTTTTGCAGGGAAAATGCCTCCACAACCAGCAAAATGCAAAAGGTACTTTCCAAGAGTTCATTAAATCCTGAGGCACAAATTTTTACACAAAGAAATACACTTAGTTCTTGTTGGCAAAATGTGTTGATTTTAAGGGTTCCTACTTTGATTAAAAAGTATGTGTTTGAGCCTAGTTAAAATGATTTAAAATTCACGGTCTGAAACCACAATAGCTTTTGCACCAACCTAGTATTAAGAACTTGACTGGTACTCTTCATTAGTGGTCTCTTTAGGGAACTCTAAGATTCTTGAGGTCAGGAACTATCTCTGATTATCTATGAAGCCTTAGGGCTAACTGTTGTGTCTCAAGCAAACTGTTAACCTTCTTAAAGGAGGCAAGCTCAGATGATAGAAAGCTTTCTGGGTGGGGATAATGTCCTGAGGACAGAGGAAGAAGTCTGTGCAGGAGGCTGGCTAAACCAACCTGGATGGACAGATGATCCTTCCAGTGAAACTGGAAGGAAAACAAGATTAAAGAGGCAAGTGAAGATGAACTGGCCCTGTAGACTGGTGGGTACTGGAGCCAGATCTCACATAGCCGATTATTCAAATCCTGAACCGAGTAGCTTAAAAAACATGCCCGACACATGTATGTGCCCCAAATTTTGACAGGGTGGATAATGGAGGAGAAAGGCCTGTGGCATGATCATGCCCCATTGGGGAGTATCCTCTGCAAAATTAAAAAAAAAAGAAAAAAAAAGGAGCAGCAGCAGCAGCAAGGGAGATGAGAGCAATTTGAGATGGTCTCTCCAGAGTCTATATGGAGAAGCAGCACCGAAGACTGAACAGGTGAAGAAAATGCCTGATTACAGGGAGACTGGGTAGAAAAATCCCGAAATTATTCACTAGTAATATCATTAGCAGTTACTACCTTGAATTCTATAAATGCCTGATTATAGGGAGATTGAGTAGAAAAATACAGTAATTATTAATTAGTAATAGCATCAGGTACTACCCTAAATTCTCTCCTTCAGCAAGAAAGGCAATTTTATGATCACAAAGAGGCCACATTTTTTTTTATTAAGAACTTGATCTCTAACATACACACAGTATTGCACAAATTTTAAGTGGATCAACAATTATATTAAAGATACAAACTCATTTATATAAACCTACTGCTCTAGATTTGGTGCATTTTGTGCCAGTATTTTAGTAAATAGGGCAACATAAAGGAACTTAGCTATTTTAATTCATGAGAATTAGCTTTCAAAAAAAGCATAATGTAACCTCAGAATACTTAATATGTCAAACCCAGGAAAAATCAATAAACTAAGTGATAAAAGGAATACTTTAAAAGTTGATAGAACAAATGTTAGGTTAAAATAGTGTTCAAAAGTTGTAGAGGGCTGGCTCTATAGCTCAGTGGTTAAGGAAGCAGGATTCCACAAGGTCAACCATGCTCTGAATCCTGGCCCCAGTGGTTTACATAGGAATTGGACTTTGGAAGCAGAAAGTACACATGTATTAAGAATTAAGAAGAAGAAGAAGAAGAAAAAAAAAGACCCCATGTTCTGCTTTGCAATTACAACCAAATTCTAAAATAATAATTCTGGGTTGTTACAAGTTCTTTTCTGCTAGTACAAACCACTGTTTTAAAGTTCTAAAGAAACAAGGTGGTAATTCACATAAAAGGGTTTTAAAATAAAATTCTTCCTATTCAAACTAAAACTATTACGATCACCATCAAATTACAAAGAAATTTTATCAAACTGTTGACTAGATAAAAAACGCCAGATCACTATTAAGATTACCTCAGAGCTTAGAGCTCAGTCACCTACAAGAAAGGGGAGGTGGGGCAGAGTTCAGCTCTCACCCAGCTTGCAAAATGAGTGAGGACAAAAGCCCTTGGGCTTCCCTGGGGTTTTGCTTCCTTATAGACAGAAATGAAGGGGGTGACTAGGTGAGGTTATTTTTGGTTTTTGACACAGGGCATGTACGCTTGATGGAGAGTTGAGAAATCACTCCCCAGGAGGGGTGTCCATGCCACAATCCTCCTGGGATTTGGGACAGGTACGCACACTCACCTGGTGTGATTTTCAAGTTGCCAGATCCAAGACTCGAACTGTGGGTGGTCATGCGGTTAAGCGCCTTAACCACCATGTCACCTGCTGGCTCCTTGACTAGATGACTTTTAAGAGACCTTTCAACTAAAATAATCTAGGTCAGCTTGTGCTCCATCTTTGAGCATTTAGGGTGGACAAAAGAAATGGATTACAAATAAGTGGATAAAGTATTTCTTACCTTTTGATACCATTGTTCAGATATGTGTACTATAGTTCAAGGAAATCTTTTCTCCTACTGTGAAAGGTTATCTCACAAACGAGGCATCTCACAATGAAATTGTTGATAAAAATGTAAAAAAGTTATACCAAATTTGGTGGCAAAACATGTTCCTGTCACAACCCACAGCAGGACTTCGTGCCTCTGACTTTTAGGAGCCACCAGTCTGGTTGGGAAAAATGCTGAGACACAATTCAAGCAATTCAACAGAGATATCACAAGAGCACACCTGTTCAACCATTTCCTGAACACATTCCAGGAATGCAACTTTAATGAACAGCAGGTTCTAACGAAATGGGTGCAAGAGAGCTAAATGCAGGGTGGCATTTTTTTCTTTACAGAACAGGTAATGATACAAAGAGAGCAATGGCTTCTCATTTTTTTTTATCTCCTACAGAGAAAATAAATATCACTTCTTCTGGAACCTAACATCCTGGCTTCATTTTCAAAATGCATCACTTTACTTTCCTCACAAGGCAGACACACATTATAAACCTTAAGCACGTGACAGTCACATGATTTCTTCAGTGAGTCCCAAGGCTTCACCAAGCTTTCCTGGAGCTTCCGGCTAAAGGAGTCCTGAGGTTTCAAATATTAAAGCTTTCTCCACAGCCACAAGTTCCTTTGATGTTTGGGTTATTGAACACAAACTCGCTGGATAATTTGTCTTCAACATAGTCCATTTCTGTTCCTAAAAGTGTTAGCTGTGCTTTCTTTTCGATGAACACTCTGACTCCTTGGGGAAAAAACAAAACAAAACACAAAACGTGTTACAAAAAGCCTATCACGTTATGGAACCTACTGATTCAAAGCACAAGTAAACTTAAAATAGAAACTCCCGACGAAGGTCAAACAGGAGGATTTTGATCACATCTCATTATTTCCTTGAAAGAATTCCACTCAGTTTCGTGTCTGTCCCCTTTTTTGTACACACTAAACTATGTCAAAAACAATGACCTTAGTTCATATACAGTTTCACATGATTAAATTTCATGACAATCCTGTGCAAAACTAGACCCTGCCTTTCACCGTATTTCACTCATTTTCCCAATGTGCAACATGAAGAAAATGTCTATTTTTCTCAGTGACAACTTTCTAAAGGTGGAGTCAATATAATTTATTGAAAACCCTGCAACACAAATACACTCCACACACTGCCAAGCTTAGAGATATACAAAGGTCTATGATAGAATGGGGATACTTCAATAACATCAATCATAATAAAAATAGGTTCTGGTTGTGGGCCAGAAAACAGTACTGTTTCTGAGCAATTATGTGGGTAGAGGCCAGCATCTTTGTAAATACAATTGGTTTAAGACACTTTCTTCCTTATAAGAAACTGAGTCACTACCTAAATATAAACCGTATGTAATGAAATACTCTTTAAGATGAAAATCTTAAAGTTTATATTTTATAAGTTGTTTTTAAAAGTGACACATTAAAAATGTTTTTATTGAATAATAATGTCAGTTTAAAAAGAGAAAAGAACACTCAAGAATTCACATCAGGGCCAGGAGGTGGCATGTGGTTGAGACACTAGGTCCCACATAGCCAACTCCACAGTTTGAGTCCTGGACCCAGTGGCCTGAAAAAACATGTCAGGCACACATGCACATGGGCCAAAATCCCAAGAAGAATGGAAGAGAAGGGACTGAGGCATAGCCATTTCCCCTGGAGGGGGGGTGATGGGGTGATTTCTCACTTTCCTTCTCTCTGCTGAGTGCGTGTGCCCTATAACCAAAAAAAAAAAAAAAAAGAAAAAGAAAGAGAAAAAGGATTCATGCCCAGGGCTAGCCCTAGGTCTAGAGGCTTAAGGGACTAAATCCCACATGGCTGACTGGTTTGAATCCCAGCCCCAGTAGCATCCCCAAGATCCCAACAGAATGGAGAAATAGAGAAGGGACTGTGGTAAGATCACACTCCACCAGAGGGTGCCTTTTCCTATTTCTGGCAAGGCCTCGTGCACTCTGGTCATTGAAAAAAAATAAATAAAAGGACCAGTGGACTGGTGTTTAAGGAAGTTAGATCCCCCACATGGCTGACCATGCAGTTTGAGTCCTGACTTAGCAGCTTGAGAAATATGCCTGGTACATGCACATGTGTGCCCAAAATCCCAAAAGGGGAAATGGAGGAGAAGGGACTATGGTTGACCATTCCTCATGAGGGATGCTTTCACATTTTCCCTCTCTCTCTGGAGTGTTCTGTGGTAAAATTAAAAACAAAAAAAGAAGAAAAGAGTCCATACTAGTTTTCCTACACAGGCAAAGACTGAAGGCTTGCCAAGGGCATAACTCCAGTGCACAAAACCACCACCTCAAAGCCCATAGAAACCCAAGTTCTCCCAATGCCGCAGAATTATTTATCTTGCTTTAAATAGGTTTAATAAAACAACTTGGGTCAGGAGGTGGTAGCAAAAGACAATTAAAGACTTAATGTTTTTTCATTTTTTTAGATTTTTAGTTTTTTACAATAGAGCGTACACACTCACTGGGGAGAAAGAGAGAGGAAAAGTGAGAAATCACTCCCCAGGGGGATGGCCATGCTGCAATCCCTTCTCTTCCATTCTCCTCTCAGAACTGTGGGCATGCATGTACACATATATACATTGTGATTTTTAAGTTGCTGAGTTGGGGAATTGAACCTGGTCAGCCATGTGCGAGTCCAGTTCCTTAACCAACATGCCACACCTGCTAGCCCAAAGAACTGAACTTTTTAATAAAAATTTGAAATTTAAAGTATGATTTAATTTAATTTATTTGACACAAATACAAAACTGCTTCTGTGCATAAAAATGGTCAGTTGGTTCACTCTCAAATTTGTCCCCTTAAAATCTTTCTGGACGTAGAGATGACCTTGCATAGTTGAAACCCACACACAGACCGGCTTATCCAATAACCTACCACTTAGTTTTACTAAAAGCGCAATCTCTGGAGAGAACTTATTGGGTTCAAATTTTCGCCAGACCACTTACTGACTGTGTGGTGATCATAGCAAACAATTTACCCACCCCGTGCCTCAGTCTCCTCATCAGCAGAACAGTGATAATGCGGATTCGCCCTCACTCGGGGTGCGTGTGCACCACTTCCTTTGTGCGCCTGGCAAACAACGCTTAACGTGTAGTTAGCCCTTCCACGTCATTCCTACTATCAGTACTCCTTACTCCATCCCGCACAAGGCTAAACACTTTATGCAAAACAAACTGCCCAGAAAAAGTTAAAGACTCACCATCTTGAACAACTTCTTCATCAGAATCTCCCTTTGTCTTCGTATATTCTAAAGTATAAGAAAGGCCATTACAGCCCCTGGTCCGGACACCAACCTTCACACCTACCTGAAAAGAAATTCAAAATAACAAACATAGTTTTAAAATAGAACTGACTAAAAATTATACAAAAAAAAAAAAAAAAAATCTGGCTACTATTATTTAAGTTTTCATAAGCTAAAAAATAAATAATAGATTCTTGGTTATAAAATATCCACATAGAAAGTATAAAAGAATGGCAAAGGAGGATTTTAAAGATTTAACTATTGTAAAACAGCTTATAAGAATTTTCTTCCAGTCCTTTTCACATATGGCCTACAAACAAAATAGAGAGGAATAAAGCCCCTACAATTCCTGTGACCCTACAAAAACAGCTTATATGAATTTTTTTCCAGTCCTTTTCACATATGGCCTAAATATAGTATTTACTGCAGTAGAAATACACACTTTATTATGTCTTTCCAGGTAAGACATCCAGGTAAGCTTTCATAATTACACTTGCAAGAAATGCCCACAAAGTATTCCACTGAACCAATGTAATGTATGTTAATTACATGACCTTTAATTAGACATTTGGGCCAGGAATAACATTCTTTTTAAATAATTATTTTATTTAACTTTGTTATTATTATTTTAATATTTCCAGAAAGAGACACACACACACAGAGATGGGGAGAGAGAGAAAGAAAGAGAGAAAGCAAGCCTCCAGGTCTGGGACTAGAACCATAGTCAAGCCATGTGGGAGTCCAGTGTCCTTAACCATCACACCACCTGCTGGCCCCAGGAATGACTTTTTTTTTTAAAGAATTATTTTTTATTTAACATTATTTGTATGTTTATTAATGTATTTATTTAAATTTGACCAGAGGAGGTGGGAGAGAGAGAGAGAAAGAGAAATTGAGAAAGCAAGCTGCCAGGTTTGGGACTTGAACTATGGTTGGCTATGTGGGAGTCCAGCACCCTTAACCACTATGCCACCTGCTGGCCCCAGAATAACATTTTTTAAGGGAAGAGCTTTAATGAAAAAACTGAGTAATTTTTAAAAATTTGTGAAAGTGTGTGTATTCATGCACGTGAGAAGCACCCGCAACAGGTTCTTACTCTGCTATCATTTCCTTCCTCCAGTTCTCCAGCTCCTCAGGATCCTGGGTTCTGAGCAAGCCCAGACGTTTCAGATCAACCAGGCCATGGAGTTGAACTAGTGGTTGGTCATGTGGCTTCCAGCACTATATTCCAGTGTGCTACCAATTACACTACCTACACTGAGCCAATAATCCTTTTTTTTTTTTTTTTTTTAAAGCTTTTTGTTATAGGGAGTGTGTGCTCACTAGAGAGACAGAGACAGAAAGTGAGAAACCACCCACCAGGGCAGATGGTCATGCTGCAGTCCCTCCTCCTCCATTTTCCTCTCGGGATTTTGGACGTACACGTACACACTCTTGGTATGAGTTTCAAGCCTTCAGGTTCAGGACTTGAACCACAGTCAGCCACGTCAGAGTCCAGCACCTTAACCACTAAGCCACCTGCTGGTGCCCTAATCACTTTAATTGTGAAAAGGAAAGTATCTGATGGATCTGATGGCAGGGATCACTTACAGGCTGGCCTTTTAGTGCAGTAGTTAAAGAGCAGTGCATTAGGACTTAGATCCCACATGCTTGACTGCGGTTGGAGTCATGAGGATGGCAGCTTGAAAAATGCCTGGAGTGTGTGCTCAAAATCTTGATGAGATGTAGAAATAGAGGAAAGAGGATTACGGCATGACTACACCCCACTGGGGAGTTCTTTGTCTCTCTCTGGTGAATGCTTGTGCCTGCTGACAGAGAAAAACAAAATCAGACCAGTAGATGGCAAAATGTTCACACTGCTGGACTCCCATGTAGACTGCATTTTGAGTCCTAGACCTGGTGGCTTAAAACTCATGCTGGGTGCATGTACATGTGTGCCCAAGATCTGAGAGGAGAATAGAGACGGGATTGAGATGTGGCCATCCCACCCCCCAATGATTTCTTGCTTTCTGTCTCTCTGGCGAGTGCATGCACCCTATAGCAAAAATCTCTTAAAAAAAAAAAAAGAAAAGAAAAAGGAAAAATAAAATAAAACTAGATTAAAAAATAAAATTGCCAGTAGACCACTTTTAAATTTATTTATTTATTTATTTATTTTTTATCATTAGGGTGCATGTGCTTGCTGGAGAGAGACAGACAGTGAGAAATAATCCTCCAGGGGAAGTGCCGTGACACAATCCCTTCTCCAATCTCCTCCTGGGATCTTGGGCATGCATACACATATGCACAGCATAATTTTCAAGTCACCAGATCCGTGACTTGAACCATGGTTGGCCATGTGGGAGTCCAGTGAGTAACAGCTATGCCATCTGCTGTCTCAAGGCATTTTTTTAATCACTAGAGGGGGACAGAGAGATGAAAAGGGATAGAGCACTCCTCAATGGGGCACAGTCACACCCCAATCCCTTCTCCCTTTTTTCTATACCATCAGGATTTGGGGCATGTAGATGCACATATTCAACAAGTATTTCAAGCTGCCAGGACCAGGAATTGAATTGTTATCAGCCATATGGGATCTGGCTCCCTTAACCACTGTGCTACAGGACCACCCCAAATTAGACTTTCTTAAAAATATTTTTACTCCACCTCATTCTGGTAAAATGGTCTCTGGATGTTTCCCTGTAGTCAGGGTTCATTTAGGTTCATAGGCAAAGATCTGGCAACCTCTACATAAGGAAAACTTTAATTCTAGGGCAAATCTGTACAAACATTTTCAAATACCAGAAAGCAAAGGACTCCAGTCTCTACAGACATAATGGGTTTAAAAAGTGACCAAAAGTCACTTTCAAAATACCAAGGTCTACATATATGCAATTTTCTAACAATCTACCTAAGTTCTCTATCTTGGAGCCTATCTTATTTTCATTTAAGCACACATTTAAGTAAAAGTATCATGATAGTGTTATTTCACAAAGAATCTCAATTCTCTAAAAAGTAGCAATATGAGCTTTGTTTTACGAAGGCAATCATGAAGTGGGAAATTTGATGAAGACAGAAGTTAGAATTGTTAAGATGCCTGTTTTTGTTAAGTTTCTTTCTTTCTTCCACAAGAGAGAGGAGAGAGAAACAGAGAGTGCATCCCCAGCAGAGTCCTGACATGACACTGTGGTCTATCCCTATCCCTGAGCCAGGCCCAAATCATGGGGACATGTGTGTCTGGCATACTCAGGGAGGTCTCTGGACTCCAACGTGTAGCCTTCCCTGTTGGATTGCCTCTCAGATGTTGCACTTTGCTGTGCCATCACCTGGCTCTGGGTTTTTGTTATGTTTTTTAAAAATCTTTATTCAAGATAGAGCACATGTGCATATGAGAGAGAGAGAGAGAGAGAGAGAGAGAGAGAGAGAGAGAGAGAGAAGCACCTCCACAGGGCTTGGTCTGCTCAACATCCTCACTGCAGTCCTCCAGCCTGCCAGGATCCCGGGCATGGTTACACGCACTTGGTGTGTCTGGTGCTTTGATGAGCCAAAGCACTAGAGGGAATAGTCTCGTCTGTGCTTAAACAAGGAGAGAGACTGCACTTTTATTCAACTTCAGAGTGACAGTTTAGATAATATGTGAGGTTTTTTTTTTTAAATTTTTTAATTTTTGCTATAGGTGCATGTACTCACAAGAGGGAGAAAAAGAAAGAGAAATAGAAAGAGGAGAAAAGCAAGAAATCACCCCCAGGGGGATGGCCATGCTGTAATCCTTTCTCTTCTAATCTGTCACACATACTCAATGTGATTTTTCAAGTCTCTGGGTCCAGGACCATGCAACCTGTAGACTTCATGTGAGGAAAGTTTGTGTATTTGGAATGATAAATATTAACTGGTTAAAATTTGGAGCACATGTCATTAGTGTTTAACTTAGTTTTTAATCTGGAAAACTCTGACAAGTCACTTTTTGTGACTTGAACCACACAGTTAATTTATACTCTAGTTGTTCGTCTTTTAAAATTGAGTAGAAACATTACTGTCCTTTAGTGCTTAATAGTTTTTAGGAGGGAGGTATGAGAATTCTCATATTATAATGTAAGTTGTACAATGGAGTCCAGAAACCACTCCACTGACTGCTAAATACTGACAGTCCATTACTTAAAGTGGTTTACAGAATTCCATCATTAATTAACAACGCTCTGTAATTAAGATAATGCATGTATCCCTAAGTCAACAATCTTACATCTAGAAATGGATCCTATGTAGGTGCACTAAGCCATGCATACGGTTCTAGAACAGTGGGCCTGGCACACAAGGCAAGCCACTAAATAGTTGTGAAATGATGTCTGTGGCAGCACTGAATGACAATGACCTGACTGACTTTTAATATGGGGGAAGGTTAAAGAAATCAAACCTACTCAATGGAGTACACTATATATGCAGGGATGATAAAGGAGGCAGCAGATCTTATAGGATGGGGAAAGGTCTTCAAGCTAGATTTTTGGGGCAAAAAGAAAAGTATAATGACAGCACGTATGGTACACTTTCATCTAGAAAGGAAAAGAAAAATACACGTATGAAAACCAAGCATGGTCTAGACCGGGGGTTCCCCTCGTGGACACAGTTTTGGTAGTCACAACTTGGTGGGGGACTACTGGCCATCCAGTGGGTATGGCAGTAGGACCTCAAACATCAACAGTGTAGAGCTGAGAAACCCTGACCTAGTCCCATCAGAAGAGAGTATCTCTGGGAAAACATTAAGAGGTGGTTGATTGCTTCTTGGAAGAATGACCGATGACGAAGTTTCTGGGGGTGAGAGGCTGACTTCCTTAAAGTCATGGGCATATTTTACTTTTAAAAATAAGAACCACTAATTTGTTTATCACAAGATAAATTCATTCTGAAACTGCAATTTAATTTTTATTAAATATTTGACTGGTTTTACTTACATGCTCAGGTTTATCTTTAAGAAGTTGTTTTATCTTGTTTACTGCTGAAGGTGTCTGAAAAAAGAAAATGTTAACTTTTTAGCCACAAAACTTGCATTCTTCAAAGACTTATATTTATGAGTCTTTAAGACAGCTCAAGTTTGCCTTTAGCAAATTTATGTGATGCATTTTTGTTCCGTTCTTGCCAGATTACCTTGTGGATTTTATATACAAACACATGACCCTAACTAATTTGAAGCGCTCTCTTTAAAAAAAAATTTTTTTGAATTATTTGCCTCACAATTATTGTCTTGCTCCCCAGTTCAAGTTGGTCCCTTGTCATACTCTGCATGGTACTGCTTACCTTCCTCACAAACGTGACTTTTCTAGCAGTGTCTATTTTGTGCATCTACTGTGTGCTCGGTAATAAGCACGCTGCCTGACGCACACAAGGCATACAGACAGCCAGTGAATGAAATGAGTACTTCACTGGGAAAGCCAATAATCAACAGGTATTTTTTTCTGGTAATTATCAAGACTATAGCTTGTCTTTATTTACTCACAATCTGTTTCAAATCCACCTAAATGCAAAGCCAGTCCACTATGCATTTAGTGTTACTGAAATAAAATAACCCAGGGTGTATTTCTCACACTAGTCCTACCAATAGCTCACACAAATTTTCCCTGTGGATTACACCAATATGTCGAGACACCTAGATGAATGGAACTATGCTAAACAATGAGAGAAGAACATCAAGTTATTTCTCAGAAGGAATGCCATTTAGCCTAGCCCAGTGGCCCTCAAAATAAGAAAACTGTGACATTGCATCACATATGTATATGTCAGCATTACCAATTCAATTTCCTTTTTTAATTTTAATTTTTGTTATAAGGGGAGTGTGGTGTGTGTATGTGGTGGGGGTGAGAAGCACCCCCAATGGGGACAGCCATGCCACTATCCCTGTTTCTCCATTCTCCTCTTGGGATTTTGGATATGGATGCACATGCACACACTTGGGTGTGTTTTTCAGGCAGCTGGGCCTGGAACTTGAACCACACAGTCATACACCCAGTATATATTGAGTGGGGACATATAATGTTCGTCTTTCATAGTCTGGCTGAGATCCAGCTGTCTTAACCATCATGCCACCTGCTTGCCCACCAACCCAACTTTCTTGGGAAGCAAGCTGAGAACAATTTGTTGTTCCAGGGCTTTTCTGGTCAACTTCTGAGCTGTGCCCAAGGGCAGTCACATTAAATGGTTTCTAAATTTTCTAAGTTTTACTGGTAAAAGGAGGCTAACAGTCTCTCTTCCTCAGGATTCTTATGAAGATTAAACATTAGAATTCATGAAAAGCATTCAGGCACAAAGCTTAAAACATGCCAGCCATTATTACAGCAGTGGGAGTAAATCATTATGAGGAGATTATGTCCTTCCTACTTTCTTATTCGCTCCTCTCATTGGCAGTGCTGTGCTAGTCTTCTAGTTTTCTCTATTGATATCTTACTGGTATGTGAATTCCCAGAGTAGAAACTATGACCTATGACTTGGTGGAAAATTGTAGCCAGAACTCAAGCCTGTGCAGGGGGAGGAGGCCCAATAGATGGCTCAAAGAATGTGTTCTCTTCCCCTGTACAGGAAGGGGCTTGGCTAGACCAAGATCTTTTAAACCCAGCCTGGACCCAATTTAGAAGGGTCAAGAAACTGGTTTAGATGTTCAAGATCACCATTTTAGAAAAACGTAAAATAAAAAACACACACTGCACTTAGTGTTCGAATGCAGCTTATTGAAACTTTTAATTTCACTTGCTAATACATGCCATGTGTATACATATTTCATAATGTGTCACTACAAAACAAAAATATGAAAAACCACTATCAGTAGGTGATACCTGAAGGCCTTTCCCCACGGTTCTATGAGAAGTGGAGCCAAGTGCCCAGCCTAGGGAACAGCACCCAGGGGGTGGAAGGAGATGAAGGAAAGCAAAATCATGGTTTCTTCATTTTTGAGGTCAAAGACTATCGACCTCGAATAGTTACAGAAATATTAAAAAGTTTTCAATTGCCTATTAACCTTCTAAATGACTGTTAGTAAAAGCTAGCTTTCCTATCTTCCATTTGTAAGTTTTCATGGTCAGATTTTCTATGTGAGTGCTGAATAAATTAATCTACTTGCTGTCAAATAAAAAGATTTCTAGTATGTTTAAAAAAAATAAAAAGGCTCAGACATGGGAAAGTATTTGTCAGAACTAAAATCTGAAGCATAATCTGGGTTTAATGCGGGTGGGTCAAAGGTGCAGACCCACACATATCACATGATTTAAACAAAATAAACAGAGTTTCCACACTACTCAGTGTCTACCAAACCCATGTATTTTTTTTCTTTTGAATTTTATGATTTCCTAATCACATTTAACTGTTGTATATCTTTATAGCACACAATATGTTTTTTCAGAGCAGAAAGAAAGTGACAATCAAATCAAGGATATTTCCATATACATCACTTTCGTTGAGGAACTTCACATTCTTAAATCTATTAACTAATTATTTCCTGAGACTCTCCTACCCGTTTTCTGCTTTCCATTCCCCCACCCCTACAGTCTCTGGTACGTACATTCGTCCTCCCTACCATATCTTTGGATCTTTTGATTTCTGACATAAAGTGCATACATCTGTTATATACTGAGTTGGGGCATAGTGTTCGTTGTTCATAGCCTGGTTTATGCCACTTAGCATTACATCTTTCATATTCATCTACTCTGTATCACATACCAGGGTATCATTGTTCCTTATGGCTGATGCTCAGTCAGAAAGACACTTGCACATCCATGTTTACTGCAGTAGCATTACTCACAATTGCTAAAGGCATGGAATCAACCCCAGTGCCCAAGAACTGTATTGAAAAAAATGTGGCATATATACACTATGGAATCCCATGTATTTTTAATCTCCAAGTGTCTGTCTTTAAGAAACATTTTTGCTACAGGGTGTGTGAGAGACAGAAAGCAAGAAATCATTCCGGGGGGTGGAGGGATGGTCGTGCCACAATCCCTTCTCCTCCATTTGCTTCTCTCAGGATTTTGGGCATGCATGCACATGTGCCCTGTGTGCATGTTTTTTTAAGCCCCTGGTCTAGGAGCGACGTAACCATCACACCAGCTGCTGGTCCCACTCCAAATGTCTTTCTAAACTACCCAATTTGATTTTACAAAAGAAAATATTTTCTTTTCTCAACCATAGAAGCACTTAAACACAATAAATAAAAGAAATTCACATCCATTTATCAAAAAGTTGCTGATGTTTGTATCTTATACTGAAGGGCACTTTAGGAAAAAGTAACATTAAACAGGAATTGTGCTCCTGGAAAGCTGCTGTTATAGGAACCCAAAATGTATGGTAAGTTTTTTGTGGCAGGCAGAAACCAATATACCCCAATGGGGGAGGGTTCCTAATAATCTAGTTGAGTATTGAATTAGGGGGACAAAGATAGTTCTTAGAACTTTCCAAGTGACCGATTTGATTTTTGGAACAAATCTGAAGAACAGTGAACATTTAGGACTTCTTAATACAAACTCCAGCTATAAAAAGTACTCTTTGCTCTATTTGCACACCCTGGCAAGTTTGCCCTGAGGTAAACAATCGACCTTGGAAACAGTATAAAATCTTCAACTAAACAACATGCTGCAGGGCCTAGTGGCCTTCTAATATCAATTCATTCCCCAGAGCAAGTAAGAAACTGTACTTTCTCAAGAAATTTACATGTAATTGATAACTAATTTACCTGAGATGTGGCCTGTGAATTAAAATTTAAGAGATTTTTAAAAAATTATTTATTTCTAATCAATCAATATTATTATGTAAGTTTGCTATAGGGTATAAGAGAGTGAGAGAAGGAGCAAGAGAGAGAGGGAATTGACAAAGCAAGCTACCAGGTCCAGTACTTGAAGCATGACTGGCTGCATCAGAGTCCAGCATCTTAACCACCATGCCACCTCCTTAAAACTCACTGAAATACGATGATGATTTTTAACCTATTCACAAATAAATGACAGGAACATGACTCTTTAAAGTAGATGAATATTAAGATAATTTGGCCTAATTAATAATTATCTCCATGCTGTTCTTATTGTTAAAATTATGGGAAAGGCACTTGCAGATGAATGTATCTTAGGAACCAACTCTCTTTATCCAGTTGCCATGTGGTTTCATTTCCTTTGGTAGAAACTTTCCATCCTTAATGTTACTGTATATTTTTTTAATTCCCCGGGCAATTTTCATTTTTAACTCTAAGGAAAAAAACCCTGAAGTTAGGTATAGGATTAGCTTACTTTGCTAACATGTGCCAACAGCTACAACCTATTTTAATTTCACTATAAACCAGGCATTTTCATGTTTAAAATGATAAACATTGGGTTGTTCCAACAGTTATAACATGTTTTCCTATGCAAAAATGTGTCATGACAACTGAGTAGCAGCCAATGAAAAAGTTACACAATGTTTTGCTAAACCCATCATTTAACAGTTATGGCTGGCATTATGGCAGTGTTTTCCTTTTGTCTTTTCCTATTCATGTATATATATAATAAATAATACAACTTTTTAAAAGAATCCATTATTTAGAGTGGCTACATATTTTACCAACAGGCTCTACTCTAATGTACTTAACCCATTCTCTCATTGTTAGATGGTTGGGCTACTTCCAATGTTTCCTGTGTTGTGTCTCCTAAATTGACTTTACACACACATTTTAGTGCTGGTCAATGATCTATAAAACTAGTCAAATGAATTAATAAGTATCTTCTTACTGAGCATGAGTTGTTTCCCTTCCCAACCAGGTTCTACGAGAAAGTTAAGCCGAAAAGCATTCTCTGTGCACAACATATTAACCTGTTTTCCTGCATCAAGAATGACACGAGCTGTACCCCTGTTCTCTCACAGAACTTTGGCTAAGCTTTATGGACAGCAGCAGGCCGCTCCTAATCCTAAATTAGGGCTGCATTAACTGACCTATACAGTGACAGGAAACCAGAAGGATGACATTTACTCTCTGAGTTGTTCAATCATATCTTACTCTGGTTCCCACAAGTTCAACGTCATTTGTTAACTTTTAGATGTGTAGGG